AGGGATAGTTAAGTAAAGGCCGATGATGGTTCCAGGGCCATGTCTCAGGTCGGACAGCTGTTGCTTTGTCCCGCTGTCAGCTGTGAGATGTGTGTGAGTATATGTACAGTTTGTGCGTGCGTGCGTGTGCGTGTGTGTGTGTGTGTTTCTGTCAGCTGTTGACTTAGCTGTCTGTCGTAATCCTGTTACTTTCTCCAGGACAGCGCCAAGTGGAAGACACAGTCACACTGTCTCATTCACCCTCTCCTAAAAAGAAAAATAATCACTGTTATTGTATCATGTCATTAGTGTTTTCTGAAAGTGTTCAGGAGTTGGTTTGAAATTACTGTAGTAGAAGCTGAAGGTTTGAAGCATCAAAATAAAACACGTTATGATGCTACAGTGATTAATATAACAGTTTTGTGATATAATAATCCATCCTTGTTGCACTTAGTGTATTATCAGGAGCTTGTTTGAGCATACTCAGTCTTGATCAGAGTCCCTGTGCTTATCAGGACCTTATATATCATAAAAGAAGAGACACACCTGAAGATCTTTCAGTTAGTGAAATGCCCCCTGTACTTTTCCTTCCTTCTTCTGCAGTCGGTGGGTAAACATTTAACACTTACTCGTCCAGTGCGTTGATGAACTCAAAATCTGTGGAGGTAGTTTCTTGTTTAGATACCCATACTGAGGTTTGTCTGTGTGATTCATTCCATTGATGGAAGCACAGAAATCTGGTGCATTCTGGCACTGGTACAATACAACCATCTTAGTTGAAATGTTTTCCTCGGGACACGCCTGCTACTCCTGACGTGACCCTGTTTTTCCCTCTCTTTTTTTCTAAACACAGACAAAATGGTCCTCTGCTGGTGCCGTTATGAGTCAGAGTTTGCCACTGACAAATTCAAACGTGAAGCACATGTATGCTTTTGATCATTTCTGATGATGTGAATCTGGTGTTTTGGTATTTGGAACAGACTGGATAGAACCAACAACACCATACTTCTGCTGGCATAATCTGGGAGTATGAACACATTTTTTGTATTATCCCTAATCTCTAATTTGGGATGTTTTATAATAATAAATTTAATGATTAATGGAAATGGGATTGTGGCCTACAAGAAGTAGAATGAACAAGATTTATCCAGATAGAAACTGAAACTAATCACTCTCTTTAGTTAAATAGACTGAGACGTGTTTGAACCAGAGCCTCATAGTGATGTTATAGTCATACTGAGGCATTAAACTGGGCGTCACCAAGGAGATCTGGTATGGAATATTAAAGGGAAGCTTAACTTTTTTTTTATTTTTGGTCCTAAATGCAACAGTGCAGCTAACATTACTGGGGTCCAAACATCTGAGAGCACTTTCCTATTCACTAACAGTGAAAACACTTCTGAGTAATTTTTTAAAATATACAAACTACAAATATTAAACTACCGTATGTGGCCTCAGTGTCATTGGAAAACTGAACAGCGTTGTCACATGCTGTCATCTGCCAGAGCAAGGTGTAAAAGTCACAGAGCGCAGGGGGCCACTGACACACTGACAGAGCCATAAATAACACTAAGGAGCTTGTCTGGCTGGATGCAAATCTGAGGATTAACTGCAAGAAAGCTGCAGTGACTCTTTGCAGGTCCCGGTGCTGCAGTCAGGTGGACAGAAGGTTTAGTTTTCTGGGCGTTGGTTGTGAGCTCAGCTGTGGTGACGGCAGGCCGGACCGCGCAAGGAATAAATGTGATTGCGCTGACATTGCGCCATTACACAGGAACAGGGAGAGGTCTATACCTTGTACTGTCTCTCAAAAAAAATGGAGGTCTGTTGAAATATTTCATACAACATATTGATCCTCTCAAATGCAGCCGTAGAGAATGCAGTTATAAGCTTAGTTCCTGTTGACATCAGATAGCAGTGCACTTTATAGACATTATTTTGAGAAGTGTGATAACACATGTTTAGATCATGGTTTAATTTGCTTACATTTATCCTAAAAAAGAGGCACAAAATCACTGATTTTCACTTGAATTTCCAAAGCAGCATATTGATCTGTGTCAAGTTGGCGTGTGGCTGGTCAGTAGACTCTCTGCTTTCATGTCTGTAAGCTACACAACTCGAATTGGCTGAGCCTTGTAAAGGCCCAGCTGTGCAGTCACACAGTGATGCAAATGCAAGACTTTAAGAGTAAATGGTTTCATTTGTGGTTTGTGATGTGTTCCGTTGTAAATGCCTCTATCTGTGGTGTGGCCTCCTGTCATGCTCTTTTGAATTCATGTCACAACGTTTTCTGGCACAGCGCTTCCTCAGCGTATAAAGTTAGAGAGAAAGACATTATGTGTTTTGACTCCACACAAATCCACACAAATTGGCTGTTTGTGTGAGCACCCAGCGTCCTGAGAGAGACCTACCTAACCTGCCAAACACACAGATGCACGTATTTGTATCCAAGCCGTCAATGTTTAAGAATTGGTTAACAGGAAGTGGTCTCGTTCACACAGGCACAGTGGTTCAGGGTTTGAGTTGCTGGGTAGATCATTATCACTCGCTGTTTGGTGGAAACCACTGATCACAGATGGGTGATGTGTTGTCACCTGTCTGCGTGTCAGGACATGTTTAATTCACCACGGTGTCTGACTGGCAGCTATTGTTTCATTTGAACTGGGGATAAGGAGAAGGATGAGTCACGCCTCATGTTCACACTGCCCTGAGAAACAATATTAGAGGGCCTGAGAACCCTATTCTCTCAGACTGATGTTACATGAACGCACAAAAATTCTTTTCATTTCACATTTTATTTGTATTTGTTTGTTTCATCTGTGCTTTTCTTGCCGGTTTGAAGCAGGTGGAACTCAGTTTGAACATGGTGGTATTAATACAGTAACTGAAGAAAATCTTGAAAGTTGATGAAAGTTGTAGCATAACTGTGTTTTAAGTCCATTTATTTTATTTCTCTTGTTGGTGAGATCAAAAAAGAGAAGTGGATACAGGCTAAAAAGCTCCGGTCCAGACAGCCTGACCACTGAGTTTTATCAGCTATACACTGATGATGTCTTAAACCTACTTCTTCAATGAATGGGGAACTAACTCTACAGGGGTGATTAAAAAAAAAAAAAAAATTAAACAACAAAAATAAATTAGAGAGCACAGATGATTTCAGTTAGTGGGCAGTAGTTTCCTGGAGTTGTTGAGTCACAACAAAGGAGGCGTCCAGTGATTTACTGGGATGATCTCCATGCACCAGGCAGGATTTAGCAACATTTAATGAAAATCTGATGAAAGCTGTTGGTTTGTTTACTTGTGTAATCAGGCCAGTGTCAGTCAAATCTGATTAAACTACACACATGCAGTCCCGATGAGTGAGATAAGTTTAGTTCTCAGTAAATAGTAACTAACTTTGGTTATTGCTCATTTTGTAATTTGTTCAGCGTCCAGCTTTATCTGAATGTGATAATCAACTTTGCACAACACTGCACAAAAAGAAAATAAGCAACACTTATCATGCCGTTTAAATGGACAGACACCCTGTCAGTGCTCATTGGCTATGGTTGCTCACTGGACACCTCCCTTTGGCTTGCATTAGTTAAAGCCTTGGCTTGGGTTTCATTGTGGCCTTAACACTGTGCGGTGTTGAGTTCACAACCTATCACACAGTGAACAGTGAACCTGCAAGTATTCCTTAAGCTTCACTGAGAAGCAAACAACTACACACACACACACGAGCAAACACACACACACTCCTTTTATTAATGCTGGTCATCTGTCCCCCTCTATCTACCTCCACTTCAACATCCAGGATAACCTGAGCTGCGTCTCCACCCCAGAGACTGTGGCACTGATCTGGGATAGAGTCTTGTCCCTCTCCCCCCTCGGCTCCGTGGGCCCATTTAACAGAGGCCCCATTGACTGTGGCGAACTACAACCCTCTTCTCTCGTTTCCTGTCTCTTTCAACGTGTCCATCCCCACCTGTGGTTAGTCTGTCTCCAGATAATGATACACGAGGGCTGCTCAGATACTTATTAAATGCAATTTTTGTGTTGTTTTGTGTGTGTTTGCTCATTTTACTAATAAGTGAAGTAGTCGGCAACGGAGCACAAATTTGCACCAAGTGTTTCATTACTGAAAGTGATGAATGCAGTTGTTTTTTTTCCCAAACCTAAGGATTCTTCTCACACATGATTATATTCTGATTATGTTGTCGGTATCTACAAATGCAAACTCATCCAGTGTCAGATGTTGACTCATTTGAAAAGCGCAGGAGCTGGTAAATGTGATTTTATTAAGTATCCATCTTAGTGTTATTTATTTAGGTTGTGTATTTGTTTTATTGATCCAACTAATAGACGCAGGATTAATGAGGCTTTAGCTGCAACATGAGACGTGACCTGATGACTTCATGTTGCCTCGACCTGCTGAAATGACATGATTCATAAGTTTTCATACAAAACGGAGAGTAACTAACATCAGAGCAGTGGCTGAAAGCGGTGACTCGAAGCATAAATGCAGCATCAAGTGACTTGACTTGACTTGACGTATGATGTGTGTGTGATATATAATATGTACTGTAAGGTGTTGCCTAATCCGGAGTGCGCGGAGCCGCAGTGACACTTAGGAAAACAGGAGAAGGATAGAGAAGTGTTGAGGAATGTCCTCCAGCCTCCTTAAGTATAGCTCTCGCTTTTGCTTTTCTCGTTCTTTTGTCTCTCCTTTCTTTTGCTGGTTTCTCACGCTCTCACTTCCCTTTTCATTTGGTGATGTTTCACGAAAGCTCTGCAATGCATTTGTTGATTTGTATGGTGAGGATTTCGAACAGTGTGTCTTATTAAGAAACTGAAACACATTCCCTCATGGGAAAAAACTTTGTATTGAAATTTTCTTATTAAGGTTTTGCACTTTAAACTTTTGGCTGTTCATCTAAATTGTATATTTACTTGTCCCCATTCAGTGTAAGTTCCTATATTAATTTGAATATTAAAACATTATCTTTTAATCTCCATGTGTCTCTCTCCTTTTGCCTCTGCAGGTTATGAGTGATGGAAGCAGGGAAGGTGGTGCGTGCCGTGTTTGAGTTTCTCCCCAGCGTCTCTGAGGAGCTGCCACTCTTCACCGGTGATGTCATCGAGGTGCTCAGTGTCGTGGATGAGTTCTGGTTGCTTGGTAACAAAGATGGAGTCACAGGTAATGTGTCAGAGGTCATTAATACTCTGGATAAACGTGTATGGTTGAGTAGTTCTGTTCAGTGGCATTTTGGTCACCACAAAGAACTTCAGCCTGATGCAACAACTACAGGGAGAAATCTTATGGTGGGAAACTTCATTTTGGCGCTTTTTCAATTCTGCTCTAAAGCCTAATTAATGTAATTATCTCTAGAGCTGCACTGATAGTACAATATCTACTAAAACTGGATCTGTACAGATTCAGCTCCCACTTGCCAAATGATGCTGTCCACCAGTGCTCTCTAAAGCCTTTCTTCTCTTCCTTTATGATTTTGTAATGCATTACAGCATACATCCATAACTGGCCACTTGTAGATGTAAGGGGGCAGGGTTTGAGAGGTACAGAAGATTAAGAATGAAACGATGTTGCCCTTCTGCAGGTCTCATAATTGAGAATTGATTGAGAATTAAAACTAATCTGAAAAGTAAGAAATAATGTACTGCTGATGGATTACTTTCAGTAAATGTCCAAAAAGTGTTATGTTCAGTCAGACGGTGCGCAGAGAAATCGCTGAAAAATCACAATGCATCCTAGGCAGAGACGTGAGCCTGAAGTGTGCATCATTGTTCCCGTGCTTCCCCTGCCCTTGAAGGGTCAAACTCTGAGAAATCCACTTATGTTTTCCAAGAGTCGAACGTCACTTAAGATGATAGAGGAAGTGCAGAGGGGAAGTGAGCGAGGGCTTGTGCAGCCGCTCCTGGAAAACACTGATCATATCAATACATCTATGACACATCGTGTTTATAGAACCTGATGTAGCTGTCATCAAACTGCACTTTGATTCTCTCCAGATACTGATTCCAGTGCATACACACGCACAGGCTAGTTGCTGATACCGACACACACCTACATGTGAGATATTCCCAAGTTATCATACTTGGACTGGGATACTACATCAAGATAGTAACGTGCATGTCAGTGAGTGAACATACAGTAACTGATTATAGGACATTCTGAAGAAGAAAAATTGAGGAAGCTATAATTGTCGATCATGCCATTTTCTTGAGGAAAGAGAAGTCGAGGGTGTACCTGGTTGCATGATGTCATTCAACTCTTATGTCCCGTCCTCAGGTCAGTTCCCCAGCACCTTTGTGGAAGAGGTTACCATCCCAAGCACCAAGCCTGGAGACCAACTCTACGTATGCATCAATGATTTCAGCTCAGCAGAGCCAGGCAACCTGTCTCTGAAGAGAGGTATGGACCTGCTGCATGCACTCATACATTCAAATTTAAATCAAGACCAGATCAGTCACTGTTTGTGGTCTAAAACACAAAGAATTTTGTTATCAGACCATGAACGGGCTCTGTTATATTTTTTTAAATTGATGCTTTGCATATGACACCTGGATGCAACACAAGCCAGGCCTCTGTGTTTTGAATAGCACTGTTTGTAACTCTAACGGGCCGTGTTCTCTCACTCAGCTTAACGCTTCTTGTTGATGTGGCTGTGCTCAGGTAAATTGTTCGTCTCGTGTTGTAGTGCAGCTGTGTTGTGTTGGACCTCGTGACCTGACTGTCACATTGACTGTTACCTTATCTCCACTGCCACAAACTGCAACCAACCCACTCTTGAGTTGAATGTTGCGAGTTTGGAAAAAAAAAACACAATTTGTTTGTTTTTTTCTTGCGCAACATTCAGTTCTAGTAGTGTTGTATTAGCTTTATGAACATAATCAATTGACATACAAGTCACACTGTAACAAAGGAAGCCCTGATTGGATTGATCACAGTGAATGGAGACAAGGTATACAGCATGTTTTTCTTTCCTTCTTTTGAAGGGAAATAACTATTTAAGAGTATGTGCATGTTATACACATGATCAGAGAAACAGTTCTAACCCAAATGAAGGAAAACATTAGCGAAGGATCAAACCTGTTCAGTAATATCTGGTGGAGCTTCTCTTGAAAATTGATTAGGAAAAAAGAAAGGTTCCTTAATGCAGCCAGAGGAGACCGACGCCATGAAAATGAGTAAAATTTAAAGAAACCTTACTTACTGTAAGTTTTCAATAAAACATTACATTCAGAATCAGGAACAGACGCAGGTTTGCATCAGATTTTGTATCATTTGGTTTCTAGTTTTGGAGTTAATGTTTATACAAACTGTTTGTTAACTAGCCATTAACTTAACATTGATTCGTGAAAGGAATGGTATTTTCTTATCAGCCTCAGTGGCGAGTCTATCATATGTTTATAAATGGAATAATCAAAACTTTCCTCTCATTGGTATAGAATCCATTTAATTAAAAAAACACTGAATGAACAAATGTGAAAATTCTCACTCATCATAAATCTTAAATTGTCCAATAAGCTAATTAGTAATAATTTAGATTTTTATAGCCATCTACATGTATTTGGGTTTCTGTATAAATTTACTGCGTGATGACACGCAGCTCTCAATGATTTTATTCCTACTTTAAATTTGTAGAATTTTTGTTCTCTGGAGAAAAGAATAAAAACATCGTGACACACACAATGGTGACACACAACACACATGGTTAATTTCCAGAACTCCCCACTAGATGTCCCCAGATGCCAGACTGAAGCCTACAGAGACTATCTGCAGCTGACTTACTGTTTTCTTTTCACATTCCTGAATCTTCTGACATGATTGCATCAGTTGTTGTTGTTGGGTTTTTTTTTATGATTTTTCATTCAACAAAACTCTCAGGCATACGACACTGATGTTTGCAGCAATCCTTCACATTGGTAAAACTTTTTATTGCTGTCTTTTAATGCCATTAGAAGTGCTAGCAGTAGTCGTAGTTGTAGTTAAAGTATTGTGAAAAGATATATTTGAATTGTAGATTAAAAGTTGCTTTGAACAGAATAAACATCTTATATTAATTTAGTAGAACACTGCTGGTTGTGTTAAAACACATTGAGTCCACAATGGGAACTCACACTTCTGCTCTTCAACAGCCCCTGTTATGTTAAGTAATTAATCAGTAATTCATTCATTGTACTTTTCACATTATATCTCTTACTTTATATCTTATTCTTGATTTAAACCATGATCAGATTTACTCAATAACAATATTTCAGTATTTGCTTTTTTCATAAATAAGATACATTTCCTGGATCATAGGAAAAATAGGAAACAGTCCTTACTGGCTGTCTGAGAGTGGAAATGTTCATTTCCAGTATGATTGTCCATGGGGGTATTGGCAGTGTTCCAGTCGTGGTCGCAGACACAATGGGAGGTGGAGCCGCAGGTCTTTGGAATGTGACCTCCATGACTTCTGCCTGACCAGTCGACATTCTTTTAATCCCTGATTCTCCTGATACATTAGCAGCAGTGCCGACTCCAGTTAAGTTATTAGAAATGCAATAATGAAGGTGATCTGAAATAGCTTAGATGTCACCTTAGTGTGACCAAAGCTACTTGAGCCATTATGTCCAGTTCAGCCCAGCAGTGCAGAGTACGCCTATGGAGCTCTCTGCCAGGATCACCTGTCGCCTCCACACAAACACAGACTCTGGACTTGCTCTTTAGTTTGCTAATTACGGAACTGGCTGAATTAGAGAATATAAACAATATACTGTAGATTGATTAGAGCAACCAATAGGGCAGCCTGTGTCTGCTTTCATTACCTTTTATATGCAGAAGCATTCCTGCTTTGTCTCTCTCAGTGCCCACAGCTCCCCTCTGTTCTGTTTTGCTAAAATCACAAAGAATATGTTTCAAATGAGAATGAAACACATGAGAACAAAAACTCACTGATTTTAGAACGTGCAACTTTTTATTTAGCATTTAACTATGACTGAAAACATTTTCCTTCATGTGACTCCTATCAGCATTATGAAGATTAAACGCAGTCTTTACTCTGTGTCTTTCTAGGTGATGTAGTAGTCAGAGAGGCAGGAGGGTCCATGGACCTCGGAGAAACATGGCAACGTGGCTGTAATGCCTGGGGCGTCCGTGGTCTCTTCCCCACATCGTGTGTGAAGGAGCTGAACCTTTCAGGTCGCTCCAGGCAGCTGTCTGAGCGCTCAGCTCAGGCCCAGGCTTCAGAGCTCCCACCCTACGCTCTAGGCCAGGCCCGGGCACTTATGAACCTCCATGCACAGCTTAATGAGGAGCTGGACTTCCGCGAGGGGGACTTGATCATCATCACAGGCCTGCCCGAGCCGGGCTGGTTCCAGGGGGAGCTGGAGGGCCGCAGGGGAATCTTCCCAGAGGGGTTTGTGGAGCTCCTTGCTCCCCTTCGATCTCCACAGGAGCCCGTGGACTGCCAGTATTTGAACGATGACCCTCAACAATTTAGCTACGAGGACCCTTATGATGCAGGGGAGGGCACTGAGGAAGAGGGTGTGGAAGAAGGGGAGGTTTTTCTGAGAGAGGAAGAGGAGCAAAAGGAGGATGTAGTAGAAGAAGAGGAAGAGGAGGAGGGCGGTGTCTATGGAGTGGCACTGTATGAGTTTCGGGCCATGGAGCCCGGTGAGTTGGACTTTGATGTGGGGGACCGCATACGTGTTATAAGCACGTTGGAAGACGGTTGGCTGGAGGGGGAGGTGAGAGGGCAGCGGGGTATTTTTCCTCATCGTTTTGTCAAAATAGACGACGGCGGGCAGAAAACAGCGGAAGAAACAAATGTTGTCGAACCAGAAGAAGACAAGGAGAACAGCTGCTCTTCTGAATACAGCCCAGATCATTCATGTCCCAATGGGGCAGAGGATGACCCTGACTGGAGGACGTATGAGGATCACACAGTGTGGGACCTGGATTATTTTGAGAGGACTGAGGAGCAGAGGTGGCAAAGTGAAAACAAAAGCGCCGGGGCTCAAACTAACAACCGAGCGCAGAGAGAAGGGGGTAGCAGGCCAGACTCTCAGCCTCGTAGACCTGTCGCCCCAGCACAAAGAGGGCCTGAGAGACCCAAATCCACTCCTCCAGCAAGGCCCAGACTCCCACCTCGGCCTAGCCTTCCTGCACATAGCCACAGGCAGCATGGCTCGTCTTCTGGCACAAATCGGTCCAACCACACAAATGGTAACACCCGGCCGTTACAGTCCAAACTAACTCATAGCCTAACCCTCCCTAGCACTCGTTCTGGTTTGTCTAAAGACAGCAGGCACTACAAGAGGCCACCAGCGGACGGTGCCGCCACCAACATCAGAGGCGCCAGTCTCGGCCAGGCGTTAATTAACCTTGTCGAAGCCCATAAACAGAAGAAGCTGACTCGCCACGCTAGTGTCAGTGATGCTGATATGATGATGGGCGGCGCTGAGACACGGACACATTCCCAGCAGTCGGTGCGCGGCTACAACGGGATGATGCCAACATCCATCACCTTAGATGCCCTAGCAACCTCAGCCGGTGACTTGGAGGCCAAGCTTACACAGCAGCTTTTTGAATTCGAGAAAAGCTTGACGACTTCGTACATCGATTCCAACATGAGCTCTGGTGCTTCAAGGGACATGTCGTCTGTCGTTGACCTGAGCCAGCAGTCCCCTATCTCACGACACTTTTCCATTCTGGAGTATAGCGATGAAAGTGATATTATCCGAGGCTCCTCACACTCTCCGGTGTCCCACCTCTTGCAATCTAAGTCTGCCTCTTCCTCACTAGAGAGGCGCAGGACCCTCCGCCCTCCTCCCCCTCGCCCTAGAGTCCTGCGTCCCCAAGCCCCGGCTGCATACAAACCAGCCCGTCCTGCTCCACGTCCCCCTCCTCGTTGCCCGAGACAAAACGCTGCTCCTCCAACCGGCAGCCCCATCTTCTACACCCCTGACGAACCAGCTGTAAACCTTCTCGACGATATAACGGAAGGGCAGGCGGAGTTCGGCGACCTCGCAGCTGCCCAGGAACATGAAATCCAGTGCCAGCTGGAAGAAGAGAAAGAGCTGGAGAGAGAGATGGAGTTGGAGAGTCAGAGACAGAGGGAAGAGGAGGAGAGGTACCAGCTGTTGCTACGGCTGCAAGAGGTTGAGCACGACATGGAGGCATACGCGCACACGGCGGAGGAGCTCAGGGCCATGTTGGAGGAGGAGGATGATGAGACAGCCCGCATGCAAGCCATGGAGAATCTGGAGTTCTGCAACTACACGCTGGAGACGCTGGCCCTGGAGCAGCAGCAGCTACAAGGTAAGACTGCAGGAGAGTGCATCAGGGTGGGAAAGGTGTTCTTTTGGGCCTTTCATGCCTTTATTGGATAATGAACAGTATTAAGATGACAGGAAATGAAAGGAGAGAGAGATAAGGAATGACATAGTAGAAAAGGTCTGGGCATTAAACCCTTAGGGCCACAATGGCATTTGATAGTTTTATGAGTATTTACATGGACCCACAAGTGGGCTTTCTAGAGATATAGATAAAGTGATAAAACTTACGGATATTGGAGACAAGGTAGATTGGATGTAACACTTAATGCTGGTTGATTTTTCCCATAGTAAGTGGTTGAATCTAAAAACTTAAAAAGACTTTAAAAAGTAGGCCACAATCTGTTTACTAGCAAAATGGGTTAACTCTACATTGAAACAATGCCGAAGAGAAAACAAACAAAGCAGAATTTGTTATCGTTGATGTCATCGTTCACTTCTGAGGCCCCGTTGCCTGCAGGTTAGTTCATATGCAAGTCGCTGAAGACAAAATGTAATATAACAGGAATCTAAAAATGAGACATCAGTACTTACCAGATTTCCTCTCTGACTTGTTATTCTGATTCCTCTGTCACACAAACACTGTTTCCTTGTTTACTGCCCACAATGATCAGGAGGATTGTGTATTTAATATATATTTATTTGTGTGTGTGTGTGTGTGTGTGTGTGTGTGTGTGTGTGTGTGTGTGTGTGTGTGTGTGTTAATGTTGAAAAGTAAGCAGTTAGGTCTGAGTTGAATTATGTTTAGAGGTATTAATAGTTAACAGCTTTTACATCTCATCTAGTTTGACTGATTTTTAGTTTACTGCATTATTTTCTTTGACTACAGTTGAATCCCAGAATTAAAGGCAAACATTATGTGATTTTCAAAAAATGTAAAATACAGTGAATTATTAGAATTCACACAATACAACAAAAACACCCATTATAAACCTGCTATTGAATGTGAGGATTCAGTTGCAGGTTTGCTTTAACAAAGGTATTGCAGATTTTTTTTTTAACCCATTGTACTTTCATCAATCTTTCTACATGTAATTGATTAATTGGGCTGATACAGTAAATTCCTAAATTTTTCCCTGACATAGAAATATATATCTGACACTTCTTGTGCCACAATCAGCCGCTCGAATTTGTTGTTGCCAGCTCACACTATCTTGGTGCTCAGTGCCGTCCTTGGAAGCCCAACACTTTTTCACATAGGTACGAGGTACATTCCTGCACACAGTGAGAGGGCCTCCGTCTCTTTTTCCACTCTCTGTCTCTCTTACTCCCTCGTTCACCTCCCTCAGACTTTCTTCACTCCATGCCTTTCATCATCTCCCTCCATTATCTGGAGTAAGGAGACTGAAGACAGCGTGGGTGTGGGTTTTGGGATTTTTTGCCGTAGTGGAGACGGACAGATTATGTCCCGCTTTAGAGCAGGACCCAAAGTGTGGTTGTGGCGTGCTGTGACATGGCCCGTGGCACGCCTCTCCACACTGTTTGGACTGGCTTGGGAGGCCAGGTCCAGCAGAGCGACAGGTAGGCTTGAACTAAACATGGTGTTTGACAGGCTATTTGTCAGACTCTTGTGCTGTTTGACAGTCACTGTTGTGTTGACGGAGTATTATTGCAGTTTTTAAGCGTCTCTTTTGCTCATAGCTACAGCTGCACTTCAATTGAGTCACTGCAGCGGTTGGTAGTTTAGTGCCTTGCTTAAGGGCGTTGACAGTGATTGTTGAGAATGTTTCAAATGGACTTTTCCCCTAAGGATTCTACTTCTTGGTGAGAGAAGCAGGGTGGAAATATGAAAACTGTAATCCATTTTACAATTTTTGACTTTTTTCATTTTTGAAAAGAGAAATTCCCTGAACACGTGTCACAAAAACAGACACTCATTTCTGGTTATTTTAATCTATAAACAGTTTCTGAAATTGTTTCTCTATTCTAGGATGTTATCCATATCACCCACTCCTGCTTTACTTATTGATTCTGGATCAATAAACTGCTCATTTCCAATCTGCACATGCTACTTGGTGTTGGATGTGCTTGCATCTGACAGCAGAGCTCACTATTTCTCTCTGTCAAAGACACACACACACACACACACACACACACACACACACACACACACACACACACACACACACACACACGTACAAACGTCTTCATTCATCTAGAAGCTTTCAGTCTAATCACTGCCATTCACAGAAACAACCAGGCTGCTTTGTAATGTTAATGTTTCTCATTTTACACTTTGCTCCAGGTTTGAGTTTCATGCCTATTAAAGAAATGCTAATTGGATTTTTTTTTTAATTTACAAAGTTTCTCACAGTGTTTGTTTAGACTCATCTCACTAAAGAAATCTGATACTATGAGATTGGTTGCTTATTATACTATACACTAATAATGAGTAAATATCTGTGTTTATTGTTTGTGCTTTTGTTGCATTCAAATGACTCATGTCCTGTTAGATTTTATCCGTCACTCTCCAATGCTCATCAGCAGGTAGATCCATGATCTTTATGTCTGTCAATGAGAGGAATCAGCCTGAGGGCAAGAACAGGTTGCATTGACTGCATGTGCCTCTCAGGGTTATGCAAAAAACAAACAAACATAGTTTCCATTCACTCATCACACTATAGGAATTTTCCCACCCTGCTTTCACAGGAATAAATTTAAATATTCAGTCTCAGGTTCTCCTTTGATATTTGCCACACTGTTAGAGGTGGGAATGGACGAAGATGGTGACATGATTGGTAGCTGAGATTCAGCAGCTGGAAAGGATAAAAAGCCAAGAACACGCCCATTGCAATATGTTTGATATGGTAATTATCAGCACATTAGTCGGACACAAAAGCTTTCAGCAGGACGATATTAAGTGTCCCTTTCTTTTTTGCCTTTAACGCTTAGCTCACAGAAAGGTGTGCATACTGTATATCAAGCATAGTCTCAGGATCTTTGTTTAAAAAAATGTGTTTGTCATCCTATCGCTATGTGTGTGTACACACACATACAGACACACACACTCACCCAGGAGTGAGTGTTTTTTCGTGCTTTTGCAGGGTGTGTTCCTGAGCTTGACGTTTCAGAGACAATGGCAGCTTATTGTTACAAGGCAGGGAGTAACTTCAACACTGAGCTCACTTTGCCTGCACTTAGCTGTATAGAGGCCCATTCAAAATCCTCATAGAAACTTAAGGACACTAAATACTAAAGCTCAAACCAGAGAGAATCAATCTCATACTGCACTTACTCAGTTTGATTCTTCATTTTGGTGTTCTGTATCTTAAAAACTGAAATCTTAAATATCTTAAATGGTTTGGTTTATTTTGAATTACTTGCATGCAGTATATATCACAGCAAACTGATGTTACAAATTACTGTGACTTCAATAACTGATTTAGTTAGAGTTGTTTCACAATTGCTCAGGAGCTTTTATTTTGGACAACCACATTTTTCAAAATCTATCACAAAGCAATTTCACTGAATGTCAGTGAACTAGGATGTGGACTTACTGCACAGTCCTACATGGCTTCGTTAAAGTGTGTGTGGTGACACTTTCAATATAGAGTTTAATTGGATCTCATTTTGATGGAAATGGAATTATGAAACATATTGTGCTGTATTTGTGTAGCAGCGGCTGGCCAGATATGCATGTAAGTGCATCATATCATGGCTGATATCAGTTGGGTCATATAATTCGATGAAGCCTTTGTTGGCGTTTAAAACGTGCATGGTGGCGGAGCCCTCTTTTAGTCACACACCATCTCCGACATCTCCACCTCTTTTCTTCTTTAAGCTCTTTGACCTTCAGCCTGCTTTAATTCTTTAAACCCACTATTAAAATGCATCCCTCAGCTTTTATGACACCACGGCCGGATCTGTTTAACACTGTTTTCAGGATCCGTTTCAGCTTCAGGTTTTCCTCAGTCAGCCTTACAAACTGAGAGACTTCTAGGCTGCAGACGGCTTGATATATGACCTTATCCCTGGACATCACACCACTTGTTCTTGATGTGCAGGATATCGATTAATAGCTAGACAGCTTCATTTACATAAACTAACACAGCCAAGGAGAGGAATGCTGCGTTTGACATTCCTACCGTTGACACATGTACACAAGCACACAGTTTCGGTCGTGTGCTGCTACTGAAAGATGAGATGTTGGGCACTGATAATTAAACAGCCTTACGTAAGAATAGAACAATGTCTAAAACAGATTTCTGTGCTCAGCCTTACCTTGCGAAACTCTTAAAAAAAATGTGCATCTTAATTCTTTGCAGTAACATAAAGTAGCATACTTTTTCTTTACAAAAACTATTTAAAAAACAGATTCAACCAAATCAAAGCAATTTAGCTATTTAAATGTTAAATTTCACTGGAGTCAAGAGAAATTACTTGTTATTTTTCCACTTTTTTGTAGTAAACAAGATGAGGAAGAGTGCAAGATAAAATCATCTAGTAACAGGGTATTTTGTGGGATTTACATAGACTGATTGAAGCTTTTTTATTTAAGTAAGGAGCTTCTTACTTTTCTCACCAGCAAGTTTCTAATTCCCTGCTTTCTGTTTTTTTTAACACCTTCATATTTGATTTCCTGGTTTGTGATAAGGTTTGTCTTGGCTGGACTAACTTGACACCAGTTTAACCAAACATTGCACTGGATTTTATTCTATTCTAAACAAAAAAAACCTATTCAGAGGACAACGAAGTGCCAACTTCTAATAATAATTTAGATTGTTTGGGTTGATGGTAAATTGATACTATCTCACATGCGTGTGTGTGTGTGCCTGTGTGTATCACGTGCATTTTGAGTGTATGCAAAGTCCTTTAAACCTGTCCCCTTTAGTGCTTGCCTCTTTCATGGAGAGTTAAGGGGGGGAGGGATATATTATACTCCAGCTTTATGAATAGGCCTGAGTTTTTTCTCACACTAAAAGATCGTGTCTCTTCAGAGAGTGGGGACAGTCTCCAACAATAGCTCATTGTACACACCAGCAGCTA